TGAATTGTCTTCAGAAATATACAACAGTAAAGGAATAACTCCAGCAAAAATAGCATTTTACGGACCCTTTACCTGGAACCGAAATAATATCCCCCTCCCCTCATTTTTATTAAAAGCCTTGCTTTATTTGGAAACTCTTAAAATAAGTGGTCATATGATTAAAAAAAAGCAGCGGCGCGCCCCCTCCCCGGCGGCCGGGCGCAGCTGTCCGCACCTCCCCCGCGCCCCGCCGCCCGCATTCCAACTCTCTGAGGTCACGGGCCGCCGCCGCCGCCTCCCCGGATCCGCCCCGCCCGCCCGCCCGGCCCAGGGGGAGGGACGCCCGGCCCCGGCCGCTCCGCTGCTCCGGCCGCGCGTCCCGTGCCCCGTCTGTTCGTCTGTCCGTCCGTCTGTCCTCCTGCCACTCCAGCCCCCACTCCGTTCCTTTGTGCGCGCTCCCGGCTGGCCGGTCCCACCTCCAGGCCTTTCCCGTCACCGCCGCCGCCACCGCCGCCGGACTCTGCCCAGGGGAATGCGGCCGAAGTTTGGGAGACAGGAAGTGAGGCGCGCGAACCCCATGAGCGCGCCGCGGCGCGGGCTGGCGTGCGGGCGCGGCTGTGGCTGCCGCGCAGCGGGACCCCGGGAGGCGGGCCGTTGAGCGGGGCGCGCGGCCCGGAGGATGCGGGAGCGGGAGCAGGTGAGGGCGCGGGGCCCCGGCCGGCGGGCGGGCGCTGGGGCTGAGCGGTGGGGTGTGTCCGCCAGCGGGGACCCCGGAGCGCGTCGGTCAGCCCTGGAGCCCCTCCCGGAGGATGGGTCCCGGCTTCCAGACCTGTGGCAGGAGCGTTAACAAAGAGAAAAGTCTTCCCTTTCCAGGTTCTCCGTGATCTAGTTGAGTTCATTTCTAAAAGGGGTTTTGAACTTCTATTCTGAACTCCTTGGCTGATTGTTGCGGCTTAATTCTGGATCAGGGTTTTAACAGTCTTAGGCATATTTTTGCCTCTCGGTATATTAAATGCGAAATGTGCCAGATAACTTTGGCGAGAAGGCGAGTAGGGAAGGATTGTTTGGTGATGACTTGTTTTTGGAGTAAAGAGTGTTTACTCTGGAAAAAAGAATTCTTGGGTCTGCAAATTCCGACTTGTGATTTCGGCAAATCCTGATTAGATTGGCCGCTCTTGGCATGCACGTCTTTTCTTTTATGCTGAGAAAGCCTTATAATAATAGCGTAAACTCGCAAACATATTCAAAACACTGTGTGCTCTGACAACCGCTGTATGCCTAATTAGTTGCTGATAGATTTTTTTTTAACTTTGGGATATGACAGTAATTTTACTCTGATAATAGTTGTTTTGTTTCTAGGTATTATATTCTCGAGTATCTACGCCTTTTGTCCATGAGAAATATGTTTGATTTAATGTTATAGATCTATATATTACTCTAAAGATGTCATATTCTGTGATTAAAGTATCACTGGCAAAATTACATGTGGGGAGGATCTTGGCAGCAAGGGGGGGGAAAGGACAGGATTCAGAGTTACAGTGTATTTGAGAAACTTTTGAAAGGGAATGTGGAAACATTAAAATGAATTCACAAATATCTGAGACTGCCTTTTGAAAAGTGGAACAGAATTTAATGTGTCTCTTATTGCATAACAGGATGGTTTTTGTAGAGAAAGTATTTACTAGTTTTTCTTCACAAGTGAATTATGAATTATCTCTTTAGTAGATAAATTATAATTGCAGATCTTTCAAATTGCATATTTTTTAAAAAGATTTTATTTATTTGACACAGAGAGAGCACAAGTAGGCAGAGCGGCAGGCAGAGGGAGAGGGAGAAGCAGGCTTCCCGCTGAGCAGGGAGCCCTATGTGGGGCTCTATCCCAGGACCCTGGGATCATGACCTGAGCAGAAGTTAGACGCTTAACTGACTGAGCAACCCCGGGCGCCGCTATTCCACATTATTTTACACCTGAAACGGACCTCCCCCAAAAGCAACTTATATTTCTACTCCATTTGAACATTAATAACTTTGACATGATTTGCTAGTGAAAACTGTATATAACAGAAAATTAAAAGGTGTAAATCATTGATAATTTTCTAAATTATTAAACAGTATTAACACAGTAGGTTTTATATAAATAAGCAATAAGCAAGCTATTCTTGTGGATGGATCTTGGGCAAAAATGCACCCTGACATCCACATTCACCCCTCAACTTTTTCTGTTTTTTATATATATATATAAATCTACCCAAGTAAAGAGAAAACATTGGCATTTCTTTATCTCTGATACAGTAAAACATTTCAGATCTCAGGAACAACTGAAAATTTTACTCTGCATTTGTTTAATCAGAGCTTAAGTTAATAATTAAGTTATATAGTATAAAACCTACTGCCTTCAAGGCCTAGGTCTATCTTTGTAAAGAAGAGTCTACCATATTTGAACACTCAATACAAATACTCATCTTTCCTCTGCATAAATGCAGTGTCTTGTCTCTTCATTCACACTACTTAATCTGTCCCGTTTTTTGTTAACCATAATTTGTATGTAAAATTGAAATCCACCACCTCATCTCATGAAAGGTATTTAATAGTATATGCGGTGTGGTATGTTACATACATATAATCTTTTAACATTTGTATTATACAAACACTGATAGCTTATTAGGCAATTTTCTGGTCAAAAGCTGATTTAAAGTTCTCATTTCTTGATTTTTTTTTCATTTTGCCTCAGCTTTAGTTTATACACTGACATAGCAAAGGGCATTGAAAACTGCAGGTGGAGACCATATCTTTTTTTTTTTTAAAGATTTTTATTTATTTGAGAGAGAATGAGAGAGAGAGCATGAGAGGGGGGAGGGTCAGAGGGAGAGGCAGACTCCCCGCTGAGCAGGGAGCCCGATGCGGGACTCGATCCGGGGACTCCAGGATCGTGACCTGAGCCGAAGGCAGTCGCTTAACCAACTGAGCCACCCAGGCGCCCGAGGCCGTATCTTTTTATGATATTTATATTACCCCCCTTAGTATGGTGCTTTTACTTATAGAAGGTACTCAGCAAAAAACAGCGCTTTATAGTCCTGGTTTTTTCCTTTGGCCTTCTTCCTCTAGTCCTTGTTTTTAACTTTTATTTTTCTGGCTACCTGGGCATAACCAGAACTTCAAAGGCAAAAAAACAAACCAAAACACAAACAACAAAAGCAATACAGAAACAGAGAAAACCGTGGTGCGGTCCTTACTAGAGATACAGCCATGTATATAATTATAGCATGCATGTAATCTCCTTAAGGGCAGCGACGGCTTAGGGTTCGTCTTAGATTTCTCACACTGCCCACTACGCTGCCTTGCACTCAGAGACGCAGTATACTTTTGTGGAGTGTAATTACAAAATGTTAACTCTGGCAAAGCCTAGTGAAATAGCTACTCTCTATTCTCTAGTTCTGCCATACTCCAGCCCTGTGTGCCCATCATCTCTGAAACCGAGACGCAGTCAGGAAAGCAGAAAAGAGCAGAAGACTGGGAATGAGGAACCTGGGATCCATTCCCAGCTCAGCCCATCCCAGTGTGAAGCTGAGAAAGTCGCTTCTTTCGAGGCCTGGGTTCTGTGTCTCCCAGATGAGAGGACTGGGGGCGGACCCTGCCCCTCCGCGCGGTTCCCCGCCCAAGTTCAGGGTAGCCAGCCACAGCCACGGCCGAGCCTCGCTGAACGACTCGTCTTCTGGGGCAGCCTCTACTCAGAAAGAACAAAAACAATCCCGCAAAGGGTAGGAACCCTCCCGGGATTTTGTTGACTCGTTTAGGGGGAAAAAACCCAGCCAGTGTAAAAACCCCCAGCCGCCGCTCACGCTCAGTTTGCTCCACCCAGGAGTTACCAGGTGTGTTTAAAAACGTTGTAAATCACGTATGGGGGGTGGAGGTGTCCTGAGGCTCCAAACAGGGAACCAAACGGACCCCGCCCAGACCCCTCCACCTCCTGTGCGTCTCGAGCTGGGTTCTTTAAACGTTCCCTCCGGGGGCAGCAGGAGCCAGTCCTTCGTTAGCGCGTCCGTCCGGAAACGCGGCGGCGGGCGGAGAGTTCCGGGACTTCTGAGGCTGCGCGTTGGCCCGGCAACGCCGCCGGGTTTTCCGCGGGGAGGACTCGGTGGGGGGAGTCGGAGCCGGAGTTCTCCCCTGCTCCCCCTGCTTCGTGGGCTTGCTGAGCCGGGTCCGCCCCTCGTTAATCCAGGATGGCGTTTAAGGCTTCGCCCGCCTCGGCTTCTGGGCCGCGGCCCTGCTCAGGTGAAGGCCCCCCCGCCTCTCCGGCGTCCCCACCCGTTGGGAAGCCGGGGCCACCGTTTTCAGAATTTCCCTGCTTCTGGTGGTAATCGGGTAACAAGCATTGGTAGGGTCTTTATGACTTGTCAATCAATTTGGAGACGTAAATGTTTATAAAGCAGAAACGGCCCTACCAATGCCTGTTAAGCGTTTCACCTCGCTTGAACCTCACAGCTGCCATATGTTACAGCGGATTATTCCTCCCCTTTGGGTTCAGGGTTCATTTGTCTAATGGGGTTTAGACTTTCACCGAGGGCTTTTGGAGGTGTTTTGCTGTTCTCCCGTAAGGGCTAAAGAACCCCGACACTTGGCGTCTTAGGGAGCCGAAAAAATTAACTATAAAAAACAAAACTTTAACGTAGAACCACACTAATGCTAGCTACTAAATTTGGCGGTATGGTAGTGCCAGCCTCTGTCTGGTTTAATCCCGAAGATAGCCGCAGGTGGTTATCGCTATTTGTAGGGTTCAATGAGGGGTGGAGTCTGACCCAGGGGCTAAGGCAGTGCGATGATAAACTTCCTCACTGCCTCCCAGATCCTGTTCAGGCCTTCTTTTTCCAGGAGACAGGGAGAGCTTATTCTTTGGATACAGCTTTCATGATTTTTATTTTTAAAAAGCTCAGAGGCGGCCGGGGGTGGGGGGAGAGGATAAAAATAAAAACTCCGTTCGGAACTTGCTATTGCCCCTGTAATCGGTATTCCTCTTTCCTCAGCACTGGCGTGGATGCTCCCTTCACCCGGCCTTTGGGGACTCAGTTGTTTTTTGATGGCGGCAGCCGCTGCTGGGTGAGCGGCCGGAGACTGTGCTGTACTCCTCCCGTCGGGAGAGGATCGCTTTCTCCCGCCGTCACCACCTCCGCGTTGGTGGCGGTGCTTTTCCCTCTTTAACCTCTCCGCCACGCTCGAAGGGACGAGAAGATGCCACTGCCATTTGGATTGAAACTAAAACGCACCCGGCGCTACACGGTGTCCAGCAAGAGCTGCCTGGTTGCCCGCATCCAGCTGCTCAATAATGAATTTGTGGAGTTCACGCTGTCTGTGGAGAGCACTGGCCAGGAGAGCCTGGAAGCTGTGGCCCAAAGACTGGAGCTCCGGGAGGTGAGCCCCCCGCCGCCCCCAAAAAAGGCTGCAGGCTTCTCTAGCCTGTCTTCGTGCCTTCTTCCTTCCCAGACATTTTAATGCATGCTGGCTCTGTGTTCTCCAAGTATGTCGCTGGCCATGATGTCTAAGTCTGCAAGCCCCGCTCCCTGTGAAAAAGGAATACAGAGCAAGAGGTCTTTCTTTGGGTGTGCCCCATAAGATCACTAGTAGTGCTGAGTTTTAAAATGCTTATATTTATTCCCTTAAAATGTAACACAAAATCAAATAGTAATGCGTTTAGGATTGTCCAGGTTCCTTTTTCCTTTTCTAAGATTTTGTTTATTTATTTATTTGAGAGAGAGAGAGAGAGTGCATGAGCAGGGGGGAAGGGGCAGAGGGAGAGGGGGAAGCAGACTCCTTGCTGAGCAGGGAGCATGATCCCGGGCTTGATCCCAGGATCCTGAGATCATGACCTGTGCTGCAGGCAGACGCTTAACCAAATGAACCACCCAGGAGCCCCGCAAGTTCCCCTTTTCTAATAGAATCCCAAATGCGTCCTCCTGACCTAGTACAGTTTACTGATTTCATTCATTCATTCAACATTCCTTTTTGAATTCTGGTTTCTTCACCAACTGGTTGTTTAACCTTGGATGAGTTATGTGACTCTCTGGGATCTAGTTCCCTCATCTGAACCATGGGGATAACAGTGGTGCCTAATGCTCAAGAGTGGTTGTGTGACTTAAAGTGCATGTAAAGCCAACCCCCCCCTTTTTTTTAACTTTGTCCTTTTTTTTTTTAAGTTTTTTTTTAGTAATCTCTATACCCATTGTGAGGCTTGAACCCACAACTCCAAGATCAAGTGTCGCACGCTCTTCCGACTGAGCCAGCTAGGTGCCTCAACGCTAAAGCTGTAGCAACAGTCTTTTACAGTTATCATAGGGAAGTTTGCCCTGGAAAACCCGTAATCTCGTCTGTAGGAAGTTGTAGAGTCCTCAGGGATCCACATAATGTCTTAAATTTAAAATGCTATGTAAGGCCTGTGAAGAAAAGGGCTCTTCCTGTCTTTGGCTGCTTGGTTCTGGGGTAAGAGAAAGATGGAGAAACTGGTTATTCCCTGTAAATGCCCAGGTTATATTCCTAACTGGAAATCCCATTGTTGTAGTTCATAAAAAGTTAGGAATAGATAAACTGTGCCCCGGTGACTATTCAGAATCATTTGATTATTTGATATTAAAGACCTGTTAGGTGCCAAGGACATATGTAGTAGGAGCTCATGCTAGTGTTGATACCAGTAAGAAAATAGGCTGATCCATGCTATGATAGGGAAAGTAGAGGGTGCTATGGACAATAGGGGGAGGCAGCAGAGGGGAAAGGGATGGTGCAGGGTGGACTTGCTGAAGGCTGGAAAGACTGTTGCACCAAAGGAACTGCAGGCCAAAGACATGAGGCAGGTGTTCTACCTGGAGCCTCAGGTAGGGAGAGGAAAGGCTGAGAACAGGGCCACATAATGCTGGGTTTTTGTTAAAGGGTTTGAGTTTGTCATGAAAGTAGTAGGGAAGTTAGTGAAGGATTTTATTTTATTTTATTTTTTAATTTTATTATTTTATTTATTTTTAAGTAATCTTCACACCCAACATGGGGCTTGAACTCACAACCCTGATATCAAGAGTCTTATGCTCTTCTGACTCAGCCACCCAAGTGCCCTATTAGTGAAGGATTTTATTTTTTATTTTCTTTATTTTTTTAAAAGACTTTATTTATTTATTTGACAGAGACACAGGAGGAGAGGGAGCACAAGCATGGGGAGTTGGGAGAGGTAGAAGCAGGCTTCCTGCGGAGCAGGGAGCCCGATGCGGGGCTCGATCCCAGGACCCTGGGATCATGACCTGAGCTGAAGGCGGACGCTTAACGACTGAACCACCCAGGTGCCCCTATTTTTTATTTTTTTTAAAAGGATTTTATTTATTTATTTGACAGAGAGCAAGCACAAGCAGGGGGAGTGGCAGACGGAGGGAGAGGGAAAAGCAGGCTCCCCCTGATTGTGGGGCTCGATCCCAGGACCCGGAGAGCATGACCTGAGCCGAAGGCAGACGCTTAACCAACTGAGCCACCCAGGTTCACCTAGTGAAGGATTTTATTATTATTATTTTTTAAGATTTTGTTTATTTGACAGAGAGAGAGAGACAGGGAGAGAGGGAATACAAGCAGGGGAGTGGGAGAGGGAGAAGCAGGCTTCCCGCTGAGCAAGGAGCCTGATGTGAGGGTCGATCCCAGGACCCCGAGAGCATGAGCTGAGCCAAAGGCAGACACTTAACAACTGAGCCTCCCAGGCACCCCTCCCCTAGTGAAGGATTTTAAACAGGGGGTTTGGTGTGATTGTTTTTGTGACGAGTGGGCCTTCTGGAGAACGAGTAGAAAGGAGTAGTTGTGGTGCAGATGATAGTCACTTGGATCTGGATGGGGATGGAGAGAAGTGGCTGGAATCTGGAGATATTCAGGACCTACCTGCCGAGTGTGGAGAAGGACTAGCCAGAGGGTCCAGGTTGATACTCAGGTTTCCAGTATGGTGGAGCTTGTAACTGGGAGAGGAAGCATAAAAGGAAGAGCAGGTTTGAGGGGGATAGGGAGAGGTGTGTGGTGAGATCAGTTCTGGAAGTGCTCAGTTAGAGATGTGGCTTGGAGATGTTGCACCGGCAGAGGCATGTGCAGGCTTGGAGCTCAGCTCGGGGTAAGGATTTGGGAATCATCAGTCTAGGTCAGTTCATCAAAGCTGGGAGAGGGCATGAGGCTGTCTAGGAGAGAGAGAGAAGACATAGCCGACCCCTGGGGTTGAATAGAGGAGGCTGAGCCTTAGGAAGGAGCTAGAATGGAACACCACGAAGGAGAAAGGAAACTTTTGCTAAATTCACCATATTTGAGCTGTGAAGAGTGACTTTTAAAATGGAGGAACATTAACCCCACAGGAAAATACTGCTATTCATTATAGCAACAGCCTCTCAGAGCTGTTGAAATTCTCTGCATATCATTCATTCTGAGTTTCATAACACGTTTTCAAGAGAGGTTGTGAAAGCCTTTGTAGAATTTAAGGGGAATTAGAAAACTCTCTCTCCAGTTTGGAAGGTATATGTTACAGAGCTTTGATGGAGGTGATGAGACAAGAGGGTGTCAGCTGGGCACAACCACTCCCACGGGGCAGGGTAACCTTGATGGAATCAGCACAGTTTAGAGCAAGGGGTTCAGCTTAAAAACCTATTATCGGGTTGCCTAGGTGGCTCAGTTGGTTAAGCGTCTGCCTTTGGCTCAGGTCATGATCCCAGGGTCCTGGAATCGAGCCCCACATCCAGGTCCCTGCTCAGTGGGGAGCCTGCTTCTCCCTCTTTCTGCCGCTCTGCCTACTTGTGCGTGCACTCTCTCTTTCTCTGTCAAATAAAAAATCTTAAAAAAAAAACAACCCAAAAACCTGTTGTCTTTGGGGGTAAGACATGCGTTACCCCAGTTGACTGAGAAGGATATATAAAAGCAGGATGCCAGTTTTGTAATTTACAATGAGATATGGAACCACCAAGGGCCCTTAGTATGTGTGTTCCCTGGCCAGGCCATGTTCCCCTGTAGGCAGGCCACATGGGAGCCAGTGCAAACTAGAAGTTGCTTGGTGAGCATGGAACCAGAGAATGAAACTGCCCTGAAAACCTTCCCTGTCTTCATAAGGGGAATGGTGCCGCCTCCAGAACCAGACAAGTTCCTTTGAGTCCGGGTATCCTTTCTGGGCAATGCTTAGGTGGGCACTGCCTTTATTTGCCTCTTGAGAAGACTCTTTAATAGAGTGGTTAAGACATTTGCAAGTTGAATCAGAAAAACTTGAGTTTCGACCCCAGTGCTGCCATTTATTAGTTATGTGACCTATTAGTTATGTGATCCAGTCCAAGTGATACACCACATCGTCACATAATTCATAAATCAACCGTCCTGTCCACTTTATGCACATCTCTCCTTCATTTATAACAGTTCACATAGATGGAGATTTTTTTTATCTGCAAGAAGACAACATGAGACTGAAAAAGGAACTTTTACAATAAAAACATTTTTTAAAAAGTGATTTTGTCTCCTTACATTTGGAATTGGAATTTTTCAAGTCCACTGTTTTTCATCTGTGGATTGGGGATAATGGTAATAGTAGTATCTACTTGATGGTGGCTGTGAGGATTCAGTATTAGATGAAAAACATTTAGCGGAGGGCTTGGTATGTGAGAAACTCTCAGCAAGGGTGACTCTTCATTACTGTTGTAATTTGTGACTCCCATTTCCATGTTGTGGTAACTGACCAACTTCTCTTCAGATTAATTGTTTTGTAAATATCTTTTATTCTCTTACTAAGTGGAAAAAGCAGTGTTTATTCATAAAATGTTCTTATAGTAAAATCAAGTATAGTGGCCACTGGTAATCACACTTTTTACATTACTAAACTTAAAATTTTAGTGTACCATTTTAATTTAGCAGTCATATTTGAACCTGTTTTTCATGCCACTGGAAATTAATTTGTACAGTGACACTGCCTTCTTGCCCTCCCCCTCAAAAACAACAGAACTTTAGTACGTTTTTCCTTCTCTATTAGCCTGTTTCTTCCCTCTTGCTGTCAACCTATGATTAAAAACAAAAAAAGTTTTATGAAATTTTGGATTAAGTTTTATTTTTTTCTTTAGGGTATGTCTTTCTCAAGGATTCTTTTTCTTTTTCTTTTTTTCTTTTCATTTTTTTTAAAATAGGCTCCACGCCTAGCGTGGAGACCAATGCGGGGCTTGGACTCATGACCCCGAGATCAAGACCTGAGCTGAGATCAAGAGTCGGACACTTAACCAACTGAGTGCCCCAAGCATTCTTTTTAAATCTTATATTACTTTTGATAATCATATTTTCATCATGTTGTCATGGGTTCTAATTAGATTAATTGCAAATTATTATTTCTTATATAGGGTACCTTCCTTTATCATAAAGTCTTTATACCTTAATTCACATGTGGT